TTTTTATTAATATTGTTAATTTATTTGGTACCTACTATAATTACCACGATTATTACTCCGTTTTCATAAGGCCCACCTAATGACTACAACGATTAGGTAAATTACGATATTGCAAAGTTTTAATGAAATAAATCAAAAATGTGTATGAATATTTTAACTAATTGTACTGAGAATTTTTCTTTCATTCTCAACCCTCTCAAAAATTAATAAGCACGCCCCCGATTTGCTGTCAACTGGGCTTACTTCTACTCTCAATCATTATTGGTTTTAGTACTTTGTCGATAAAATGACGAAAAAATTCCTAGTTCAAATTTGACTCGTCAAATTACTCTAAACAAAAATTTAAATTTCAAGAAATCGTCAATAGAATAAGCCAGTCCAACAGAATTTGTAACGCTGGAACTGTGATTTGTATTTCACATAGAAAAAACTCCAGATATGGTAGGCTGATGAAAAGAAAAAAAACAAGAAATAAATCTCAGATTTGCTGACAAATTCATGTTACATGCGATTGCTAGTCCACTGCCACTGAAACAGTCATTTGAGGGAAGTGATTGAATAATTTATAGCTAAGCTGTTTTCGAATATATTTTCCACAAAAAATCTGAAGAATACTCAGTATTAATATTTCATAGATTCATTTATATAATGAACTGTCTTGAATTATGGTCATCAACAGAAATAATACGGAATAAAAATCTACTCAACAGTGGCGGTTCACAAATAATTCATGAGATCATTTTTATCAATAGCAGACACCTCTGTGATCAACAACTCAAGGAAAGAAAAGAGCAAATATCAATAACAACAGATTTGATACTGAACAAGACGGGTCTTCCCGTGACCAAAATAGCTGCTCAAGAAATCGTTAATAGTTTCGATCTAGGACGAGATTACCTCGACTCTGTATCAAATTAGACCATTGAAAGCAGTAGAAAACGCTTCATTCTGAGGATGAGACCATGTTGACATTCAACCACTGTCTACTGCCAAAGAGAGGAAACTGGTTCTATACAGGGGTGCGCAAAAGTTCGGAATAAAATTAATATCTTTTTTACCAGTATTTTAGGGAAAACAACGCTGAAACACGTCAGTTGATTTCACGTTGTACGCATTTCTTGACAATAACATGATTGTAGGGAGGGTTGCAGCTAAGGGGTTGACAAAAAATATTTCATTTTATTGCCAAAAAAATGCGTACAACGTGTTTCTCAATGCTTCGAAACTGGTTACTTTTTTCAGTTGTCTTCGGAGATAGAGTTGATTAGAAAGTTTAGAGCACAGTTGCTCAACGTGACAGTTCTATTTCAAAGAATAATCCAAGGTTATACCCAAAAGTTCAACTTTATTAGCTGAGTTCGTTCACACGACAGTTAGTTGAAATGGAAATCATTTGGCATTTATTAGGGTTTTGTTTCAATTTGTTTGTTAGAAACCATTCTACCGCTATACGCTCCGCCAATTCCATTGAATTTGACAATATTTCCTTATCAACATGTGATTCGTATATAGTTACATCATCTGCAAACATCATGCATGATGACGGTGACAAGTTTTGCGGTAGGTCATTGATATATAAAATAAATAGGAGAGGACCTAATACAGACCTTGGGGTACCCCATGTTTGAGGATTCGAAACTCTGATTGAGAATCCTGATATTGCACTGTCTGTTCTGCGTACTGTGCTGTGCTGTTCCACGTACCTATTCCGTAATATTCAAGTTTCTGAAGAAGTATTGTATAAGAAACACAGTCGAAAGCCTTGCTGAGGTCGCAAAGTGTCATAAATATATGAGGCAGACTTCTTTGAAGGGTACAAAATAGAAATTGTTGAATAAACAAATATTTTTTTAGAAATTCAACTTCTTGAACAGACAATCTGGTTCAGTATAGCCAATCTAATGAGGAACACAAGTCTTCATACTCATAAAGCCTTCTGACGTCACACATGATTTTTGAGCTTGCGGTTATTCATCAAGTTATACTAATTAATACATTTTCAGACGAAGTTTCTATTTTTCATTTTCATTTCAAACGAGAAAACTGAAATTTTCTATTCGAAAATGATAGTTTTGATATGGAAGAAACGTCAGTATATTTGATTTTTTTCCTTGATTGATTCCGTATATAATAAAACAACACATCGTCGTAAAATGCCGTTTTCCTGTCCTGAACTATAAATAAATGTTGATTTTTATGAGCGACGGCAATAAAAAATATTTATGTGTAACTACCACCGTAAAAATGGCGATGCACCCTTTATGGCCGTTTTAATTTTCTTAGGTGAAAGATAAATTCATATGTGTGATTCTGGAAGACACTTATGAGAAAAAAATGTTTCTAATGAGGAATATGCTGTGCTATCTTTACATATATACAGTGGGCCAATTGAAAGGAACAAGTCCGATTTCTCATAGTATTTTGAGTGGAAAACTGCAAAGTCTTAATGTTACTGATGGCCAAGCAATACCTCGTTTCAAAAGTCATCGATTCTCTTTCCAGCGCCTCTTAATTTTTAAATTGTAATAAAAAATAAACCCAGTTTGCTATTTCCGTTTAAAGGAGAAGTGACAAACATTTCACATTCTGTTTATATCCATTTGGTATTTCATGATATTCCAATCGTTCCTCTTTCGGCTTATTGATTGATTGAACTTCATTATGGAAACGGCAGGTACGCTAATATTACAGTACAGGATTGGTTACAAATAAAAACGAAACCTTCCAAAGGAAAAAGTGAAGAAAGAAGTTAGAGAAGACGTTGTTTGCCACGTCAGCATTAACCTTACGCTGTGTGCCAGTTTGTGTGTTCATATATTTCACCCGTATGAAATTTATTAAATGTTCAGTTCTTGTTTTTCAGATTAGTGTTTATTTTTCCTGAAAACTCTCACAGGTGTGAATTTCAGGGCCTTGTCCATCCTGAGAAATTAACTTTTTCTGTTAGGTGAATCGATTGAGGAAGATATAGTGGCCGCAAGATTATCCGATTTGAATCCGTTTGATTTTTGTTGGATCTCTTTCAGACAATGTATGGAACTAACAAAGCAACTCAATATTATATACTGTATGTACACTGTGTGTTAGTCAAAACATGCTTAGAAAAAATTCGGTTAGAAAATTTCAACAGATTTGATACTGAACAAGACGGGTCTTCCCGTGACCAAAATAGCTGCTCAAGAAATCGTTAATAGTTTCGATCTAGGACGAGATTACCTCAACTCTGTATCAAATTAGACCATTGAAAGCAGTAGAAAACGCTTCATTGCAGCTTCGTTGCAGTTAAGGGGTTGAAAAAAAAATATTTCATTTTATTGCCAAAAAATGCGTACAACGTGAAATCAACTGACGTGTTTCAGCGTTTTTTTCCTAAAATACTTAAAAAGATATTAATTTTATTCCGGACTTTTGCGCACCCCTGTATTAGGCACTACGTAGGAGCTAAAGAGCATATAAGTCTCGAAACAGGTGATTTTTCATATGTTTGAACAGGAAAATGTCATATCTGACATTTTCCTGTTCAAACTATTCTCTATGTATCGTCTTTCAAAAAAATTACTACCAAGTAATATATTTTGATGTACTGAATACATATCTATTGATCAGAACCATGGTGATGCTTCCTAAAAATAATAGGCAGTCAAATTTTCAGGGCAAAGTGGAAAACGACCCCGGCTTTGTGATAAATACAATGAAATATATCAGGCTTAAGATGTTTATCTACCTCGAAACGGAATAAAACATGAGATGGGTCCAAAAAATCATAAAACCTAAATTACACCTGAAGTGAAGCCGTTCAAACCTGTTGTGATAGAAAATCGTTTCTAGAGATGTGTACAATTATTCTTCCAGACTTAAACCATATTGAAATGAACAAACCTGGGGGCTCACCTGCGGGCACATCTTGCACTGGTACTTTCTGGGCTGCGGACCGCCGTTTTGCATGCCGCCCATTTTGGTGGCGTTGATCGGTTGTGGTACGACTAGCAGAGCCGGACTCGAACCAGCGACACCCGGACTTGAACTGCTGGACGTCGACCTTCCCGACGTGTAGATACCAGGCGTACCCGTCATATGGTGGTGATCTTCCATGCCGTACAGTCCTGAAAAAAATACATTAATGTAGCACGCTTTTATTGTACGAGTGAAAAATGAAGACGAAACAGTTAAACATTTAGAGTTCAATTAGAAAAAGAGAGCGAGACAGCTCTTCTTTAGAGCTACCTTACAGACTAAGAACAGGGAAACAACTCACTTATATTTGGTAATTCAACAAATTTTCAGAATTCTCAATTCTATCAATTTTTAAGCTTTATAAAGATAGAGTTTCAAACCTATCTCTTCAAATTCTAATACTTCATAGTCATGGCTGAACTCATGGAATTAGTCTTCACATTCCAAAGAAGCTATTCATATGCTCTTTTGCTTGGTGGGAAAAGGTTGTCCCTGTTTGGCCAATATAAAGTTTTGGGCAAGTCAACTTTCAAACCCCTGATCTTATACGACAGTAAATTTTTGTCTTTATTTTGTATAACAAATTTGTTGCTTGAATTATCAATTATTTGCCGGTGAGTAGAAGTCTTTAAAAAACGAGCGATTATTGGTAGGTTCATCAAAGTATGTCAAGTAGTTTTTGGAGATGTATCAGGTCAAAATTTTTAAAAAACGCCTCGTTATGTTACCAAAAGAGTAAAAAACCTGTTCGGGTCGACAGTTATTAGAATGGCGCTGTGACAGAAATAGTATTGCCATTATCGCCGATAAAATGCAAAACTAATTAAAGAAGCTATAAGCTTAAAATCTCATTAATATTGATGAAGCAGTATAAAATTTGGGTTTGAAACGCTGCAGAATGTTTTGAGGAAATCGATGAAACTATTCGAGTTATTCAAAAGTTGCAAACGCATAAAACTGAATTTATTGAAAATTCGTACTAGTTCATACTTGTTTCGAGCTACTTTAATCTAGGACTATTAGATTTATACTGCTGAATGAATTGAAACTGATTGATTTTGCGAAGGGAACCTTCATCATGAAGAACAACTGCTTCGCTTTTGAAAATACGATCACTCGTTTTGAGTACAGAGAGCTTCAAAATGCCAACAACCGTTGAGTCGAAGTTCCCAAAGTATTATCTGTAAATAATTCTAGTTGATATGTGGATAATATTAACGTAAGCACTGCTGTCTTATTGAAATCAGAATGAGGAGCTGGTTACATATACACCCCAAACCTTCAACCAGAAAAATCTAGGTAAATGGTCATCTGCTTCAGGAGCCTAGGCCATTTACTGTCTGTGACAGTTGCGACAGACTAGGGGCAGATGAGATTAGTGTCATCTGTCAAGTTCTCAGTAAATTCTCAATATACCATTTTTAAACTGTCTTGTGATAGTAATAATGTTCAAAAAAAGTCAGACAGTTCACAACATTTCACAACATTTAAATAGATAATGAAATATTGGTACATATATACATTAAATTATTCTTAAAACAGTGATATTTGGTTTCATTACAGATACAAATACCCTAGTGAACAATTGAAAACAATTAAAAACAATAAATAAAAAAACAATAAATGATAGCCAATAATGTCCCAAATAATTCCACATAACTATACAATTTGTATTCTTTTAATTTAAAAAAAATTGTTTAAGTGCTCTTTTGAAATCTTTTGAAATGTATATTTTTTTATTTCTTCATGTAATTCATTGAACTCGTGGAAGCCCTTAAAAATTAACGAATTCATGGTACTTCCGAAAGCCGGTCTGTTTATATGTATATTATTGGAATGTTTTTTTAGTGAATTCGATGTAATCTTTAAAATATTCTGGTGCCATTCCATTTACAATTTTGTATACTAGAGTAAAATAGTAGAGTCTACTTTCAACTGATAACCAATTCAAACAATCAAGCATACTTTTTATGGGAGTACGGCGATTTGTTTTCAAGATTACTCTCATCCCTCGATTTTGTAGTTTTTGTAGCATATTTAATTTATTAAGGTTAAATAAAAATAATAATGACACACAATAATCAAAGTGTGGTTGAATAATGGTATTGTAAACTGTTACTTTGGGCTGCATTGACAAATTTTGTGCTTTTCTACAGGAAAAATATAGTTTTTTTCGATATTTTCTCATGTATATATTCAAAGTGATTGTCAAAGTCAAGAAAGACTATTTTTTGCCACAGAAGTTTGTCCATACCAAAGAGAAACAACAACATTTTGGAGAGGCATAATGCATGGTCGTCGCATGCAGCTTATTTCCATTCCAGATACTGTAATAGAGGACGGATTTCCATTCCAGATACTGTAATAGAGGACGGATTCTTTCAAAACTGTATTGAACCCATTATTCATCCTTTCCGAAATGAAATTGGTGTCAGTAATTGGCCAGCGAATTCGCCAGACATGAATCACATTGAGCACATGTGGAATTTCGTAAAACGAGAACAACTCTGGATACCATTACCGCCCTTATTATTTCGATGCACAGGCGAGTTAACAACTTACTACAGAACAAGGGAGGACACATCGAATAATGACGCATTTTTGATTTTGCTCTAAAGTGCTTTTTTCTAGATCTTAGATTCTGGTAATCATTGCATCATGCACCATTTTCCGTTTGTATTTTTGTCTTCTTCAGTTATGATTAAATTCGGCCAATTCATACTGGCTGCATAACCAAATTGAATGTACTTCGTACTACACTGCTTGACTTTTAATAATAGTGTCTCATTTAGACAAACATAAAGGCGATTTGTACATATAGAATGAACGCAATGAGCTCGTAAATATGTGTGTTTTCCAGAGATTGGAAATGAATTTATACACGGAAGTTTACGATCGAAAACAATGTGGAAGAGTCCTCTTTGGAATATCCACTTAATATCAACTTTTTGGGGGAGAATGGGGGAAGATAAGCGTAAAAATGAAAAATTCCATGGTACGAAGAATTTTAATTGATAATTAATTACACATTTTCAGCGTACATAATTTTCCTCGAACTAATTGAAGAAAAACAATCTACTCTCGTCAGTCATAATGTAAATGTACCGCTCGAAATTTGTAGCTTCGCCAAAATAGGCGTCTGAAATAACATATCTCATTAAGTCCAAGCTCTGAAATAATAAATCAGAACTATAAACACATACATAGATGATCGCGTTGACCTTGATAACGTTACAAGGCCTGCGGCATCACATTCGATAGAAAAAAAAAGACAACTTGCAGTATTTTGGCCGACCGAAAAAGAACTGACTTTTGCATGTTGAGATTTCCTGTTTGACGGGTCGGTAATTCGATACGAACGGAACGTCGAAATTTTATTACGGGATCTTAAGTTGATTTCCAAGTAAGACGTAATTAGCTAGAGTGGAAACACTAATTAAACTGATTTTTTCTTCACGATATTAACCTCTTTCCTTATTGGATTTTCATGGATGTAGGTAATTCCGTTTAAATATTGGTAGCCTGCGTTTTTACAATAGTGGCAAAGTTTGATTTATGTGTTTTTGTGCTCTCTGCACATAATTTTGCAAAAACCCGACTCATCAATTTTTCGACACAACCTAAAGCAAATTCAAATCCAAGATAGAGTGGATGTAAACATTGACATGCCCTACGCACGTGATATTGAAAATCCCAAGAATTGGCCAGGGTCGTATTCAGAACCAACATCTTGTTGATCGCAAATGCTATATCATACTTAGGAAAACTTTTTTATAATAACGAGTGAAATGCACAAGTTTTGCAGTTTAACGGGAAAAATGCA